CTTTGAGTGTTGTGAATCAACATGTGTCCTGATCCTTCCTGGCTGTGAGACAGGAGAACAATGATGGCAGCCTGAGGTTAATGCTAAGTAAACAAAAGCAGAGGGGAAGATTTCCCCTTATTTTACAGAAACTTTTGTCAAACAATTCTTTACTCTAGTGGGCCATCTTCCGATGTGAGAAATAAGAATCTCCTTCTTTTATCCATGCCAGGAGGTTTCAGTAATCACTAATGGCTTTTGTTTCTGAAGGCCAGGGGGTTCCCTTACATCTTTGGAGGGAGAAGGGGCAAAGGGTCAGGAATACAAGGAAACATAAAAATCATATAGAAATTATACACAGGGAAATCATATGCAGCTATCTTCCCATCCAGGACCCCAGAGAGAGATTAATAATGACGATATCAGGACACAGCATGAATTCATAAGTTGTCTTGAAGAAAGTTCATGGGTAGAGAGCGAGTCCTTGAAGAGAGTGAAGTCCAGGAATGTAGCAGAATTCAAAAAGCCACCAAAGGGAGTCTATGGAGTTCCACTGGGCCAAGACGCAAAGCCCTGCAGCGCTGGGATGGAAGCCGGTCCCATGGTCCTTGGAAAACTACAGGTCTCCCTCGAGAGAGAGGAAGAAACCCCAAGGTCTAGCTATTCCCAAAGTTTCATGGGTCCTCATTGTTGTTAAGGTCTTGGCAAATTGACCAAGACTTAACCCCTATTGTGCAGTCTGGTACCTTTGCAGAACTATAAGTCACCATCCCTTGTTGGGGGGGGGCATGCTCAACGTCAACATGATTCCACTGGTTCAGGGTTCCTCAACCTTCCTAATGCTGTGACCCCTTCATACAGTTCCTCATGTTGTGGTGACCCCCACAATCCTGCTGTCACCTGGGATTGCGACATCTATGATCCATACTTTGTTTTTTAACATGATCATGAAGTCAGGAATATTGTTCTCCAAAACTCTGTCTGTCTGAATCCAGAAGTTCCAGAGTAGCTTGACGTGTTAATTCTCTGTAACTTTTTCCAGCTTGTGATCCCACCAGTTCTTTGTTGCAGGCAGATGGTATTTATTATTATTATTCACCATTGCCTCACCACTAGCTACTTTCAGTGGGACAATGAATTCTATGAACAGAAAGATGGAGTAGCTATGGGGAGCCCTCTCAGCCCAGCCATGGCTAATTTCTACATGGAACACTTTGAAAAACAAGCCCTGGAAACAGCAACAAAAAAGCCCACGATATGGTTCAGATATGTGGATGACACTTTCACCATTTGGAGCCATGGAGAAGAAGAACTCAACAGGTTCCTGGACCATCTTAATAGCATCCACACAAACATCCAATTCACCATGGAAAAAGAAAATGAAGGAAGACTGCCTTTTCTAGATGTCCTAGTCATCCGTAAACCAGATCAGCAATTGGGTCGCACCATTTACAGAAAACCCACACACAGAGATAGATATCTACATAAAAACTCCAACCATCACCCAAATCAAAAAAGAAGCACCATTAAAGACTTGGCAGACTGTGCAAAAATATTGTCGAAGGCTTTCATGGCTGGAATCATTGGGTTGTTGTAGGTTTTTTCGGGCTATATGGCCATGGTCTAGAGGCATTCTCACCCTGGTCATTCCACAGATATATAAACCCTTTTTCCTAGTTCCAACAGCCCTCACTACCTCTGAGGATGCTTGCCATAGATGCAGGCGAAGTGTCAGGAGAGAATGCCTCTAGACCATGGCCATACAGCCCGAAAAAACCTACAACATATTATTATTATTATTATTATTATTATTATTATTATTATTATTATTATTTAGTTGCGGAATGCAAAACAAATTCCTCAGGTCAGAATTCTTGAATTCTTAGTGTAATTTGTCTTTTTGGCGTCGGAATTATTTTCTTTGAAACCATCCTTTTAAGAATGATGCCTACTCCTCTCTGTCCCAATACTTTTCTTAATTTAATAAATTAACTCAGTTAAGGCTTATGCAATTACAAAGCTAAAAAAAACCATAAGAAGGAAACAAGATATGTAAACACACACAGTTAAGGAACCCGAAAACCTTTCAAGTCACAATTAGTTACAGTACTTAGCAATTAGTAAAGTAAATCTTGCCATCTGCTACTATGTGAAACAGGTGGACAATGCGGAATGCTATTAGAGTTAGAATAATTAATAAATGGAGCATGTGTTACACAGAATGGGTTGCATGGTTATTCCTTACCTTTTCATGCATAGAATCATAGAGTTGGAAGAGACCTCATGGGCCATCCAGTCCAACCCCCTATACATGGATGCACTGTCTATTCGTAGCTGGGAAAATAGTCTATTCACAGACCCTGAAGTAAAAATTAACTTCTCATCTGAATCTCAATGTGTTGATTTATTTATGTATTTTGATTATTTAAGTATTTTTATATATCTACTAGCTGTACCTGCTATGCGTTGTTGTGGCCAACCTTTCCCTTTCTCTCCTTCAGGTGCTGGACAAGTGCCTCGCCGCTGTGTCTGTCCGGATGAGGAGGAACAAGCTGAAGATTAATCCCGACAAGACAGAGGTCCTCCTGGTCGATTATAAGCTGGATTGGGGTATAGGTTGGCAACCTGTGCTGGACGGGGTTGCACTCCCCCTGAAGTCTCAGGTTCGCAGTCTGGGTGTCCTCCTGGACTCATCACTTACGCTTGAAGCTCAGGCGTCGGTGGTGGCCAGGAGGGCCTTCACACAATTAAGACTCATACACCAGCTGCGACCATACCTCATGAAGGCAGATCTGGCCAGGGTGGTCCATGCCTTAGTCACCTCCAGATTGGACTATTGTAATGCACTCTACGTAGGGCTGCCCTTGAAAACAGCCCAGAAATTTCAATTGGTTGAACGGGCGGCAGCCAGGCTACTAACCGGTTCTTCTTACAGGGAGCGGTCAACCCTCGTGTTTAAGGAGTTCCACTGGCTGCCGTTCATTTTCCGGTCCCAATTCAAGGTGTAGGTTCTTACCTACAAAGCCCTGAACGGTTTGGGACCTGCCTACCTACATGACCGCATTCCTGTGTACGAACCCACACGATCTCCTCGATCATCTGGAGAGGCCCTGCTCACGCTCCCACCTCCATCGCAGGCGCAATTGGTGGGGACAAGGGAGAGGGCTTTCTCGGTGGTGGCCCCTCGACTCTGGAACTCACTTCCCAGGGACATTAGACATGTTCCAACATTGGCAGTCTTTAGGAGGAGCCTGAAAACGTGGTTATTCCAGTGTGCCTTCCCAGAATAGGAGCACTTTCAGCAATATGCCCTCATAATGCACTTTAACACTGACTTAGGATGGATTGGTTGTTCCCTCGTTTCTCTCTGAAAAATCCCATCCAGTTATATTTTTACCTGTTCACATCAGCATATTTTCAATTTTAATCTATTACATTTGGCCCAGCCATTTTAAAACTGTTTACACTTCACTATTGATAGTTGTTTTGTTATGTGATTTATATGATTTGTATTTTATTGATTGTTTATTAATGTTGTGTTATTGATGTTGCTTGATGTATTTTGAGCTTGGCCTCATGTAAGCCGCACCGAGTCCCATGGGGAGATGGTAGCGGGGTACAAATAAAGTATTATTATTATTATTATTATTATTATTATTATTATTTCTCTCCTTCCTTCCTTCCTTCCTTCCCTTTTTTCTGTCCTTCTCTCCTGCTTTCCTTCCTTCTCTTCCTCTTCCCTTCCTTCTCCCCTTTTCTTTCCCTTCCCCTTTCTCCCCTTTCTTCCTTCTCTACCTATTCTTGGACTGCAACTCCAAGCAGTCCTCCTGATCCATCCACCTACCTATCTATCTCCATCTAATCTATCTACCTGGAGGATTGCTGGGAGTTTCAGTCCAGGAATAGGAAATCAGAAATATGCAGGGATTGGGATGCTCTCAAAGAAATCCACGGAGAAGAAAGCTTGCATCTTGGAAGCAGTGCATTTGCATCCTTCTCCTCTCCTAAAGGACCTGGTGTTGTGACTCAGCTGGAATCACAGAGTGATAGTATCAATGAGTCTGATGAGGATGATGGGATTCAGATTCACAGTCAGGTGCAAAGCGATGTGATAGATGAGGAAGAACAGGGTATAAAAGTTCAGTTTTTTCCCACAGCAAGGGATGCTGCTGATAATGCAACTACTGAAAACCAGGAACATTCTGATTCAGGAAGGGAGGACAGTTGTTCTCAGCCAGATAATGAGCAAAAAAACACTAATGAACAAATTGACCTTGATGACGCCGGAGCTTTAGATCAAGCTGATCATTTGGAATTTAAGGTTCGAAGGAGTGTGAGAATCGCTAGCAAGAGAGAAAGGGAGGCCAAGGGCCAGAGGAACGCCTTCATGTTTTCCAAAGGGTATTAAACAGGCTGTTTGAAAATACCCCAGTATCAGAGCAACTTCTCACTTCAGCCAAGAGACTTAGGATTTATCTTGCAGTTTTCATGTTCATGGTTTCAGGACTTTTGTCATGTTCTCATGGGACTTTGCCTTGCTTATATCTTCATGGATCCTGTTTTCCAGTGTTACCTTATATTGATCTTTGGATTTATACTTTTGCCTTTTTGAACTTTTTATCTTTTACTTTAATAAACCATAAAGACTATTGCTTGTGTGCTGTTTGGTGTCTGAAGCAAAGTGATTCTACTCTGAGGTGCGACACCTGGTCTAAGGGATGCTGGAAGCTGTAGCCCGGAAGAGAGTGTGGATATGCTATTGTGTGTTTTGTTTGCCAGGGGAGTCGTTTTGCATATGTGCTGTAGCGTCTTTTTGCTTGTTTGGCTTTTTAAGTCTCTTCCACTTTTTTCAGTGTTTTTATGAGTGATGGTCACTTTTGGCCTGATAGGTGCGACACCTGGTCTAAGGGATCCTGGGAAATGTCCAAATTTGGTATCATTTCATCCCGTTGTTTTTTGAGTTATGTTAATCCCACAAACGAACATTACATTTTTATTTATATAGATATACATGAGGTCATGAAAAAATGTCTCAGTCTGAAAGAGGTTCAAAGTGGAAAAAGTTTAAGAAGTCCTGCTCTAGAGGAGAGTAAATGGGCTGCCATTTCAGTTCATAAAAATATTGCATTTCTTATGCGAGCCAGTCCTTTTTGTGCTGAGGCCACTGCTAACACTGACGTATGGGTTATCCTTATCTATGTTGCTATTCTGTCCTTTCTTGGGTCCTATGGCTACCTGATGACGAAAATGGGTAAACATATTCCACCATATTGGTCACAAAGCAGGGCATCTCTTTGCAGCCGGCATACGTTCCTCTCGCTTCACAATGGAAGGCAACTTTCCACATAATTCGGGTCATCAAATTTGCAATTTCAAGATGGCGCTCCTCCCCTTCTAACAGTTCGAGTAAGGCTTTGATGAACATCGATTCCCATTGGTTGATAAAGGAGACATAGCCTGGAAATGCCACGGAACAAATATTAATGTGAATATTTATTTATTTATTTATTTATTGATGACATTTATATGCTGCCCTTCGCACCCCGAAGGGGACTCAGAGCGGCTTACAAGATATATATATACATACAATATATTATATTATTAGTATACTACAACATCAGTATTAAATATTACTAAATTGTATTATATCATTATATTGTAATATTATTAGTAATATCACATGCAATATACATGTATAATTATAATATCATATTATTAGTAGTATTATATTGCATTACATTATAATATTATAAATATTATATGTATATACAATATATTATATTATATTATTAACATAGCACAGGAGACAAGGTGGAACTGTCTCCTGGCCCCCTCTCTCTTCACTCTTAATACTGTCCTTCGTTGAGCTTGTACCTGCAAGTTGCATAAGGCTGATCTGAGACATTCTGCAATATTTTTTTTTCATGTTGGGAGCAACTTGAGAAACTGCAAGTCGCTTCTAGTGTGAGAGAATTGACTGTCTGCAAGGACGTTGCTCAGGAGATGCCCGGATATTTTGAAGTTTTACCATCCTTTGTGAGAGGCTTCTCTCATGTCCCCACATGGAGAGCTAGAGCTGACAGAGAGAGCTCATCCGTGCTCTTCCCAGATACAAACTGCTGACCTATCAGTCATCAGTCCTACCTGCACAAGGGTTTAACCCATTGTGTCACTTGGGGCTCCCGTTCTGCAACATGATAGCACTTCAATCCACCCATGTCAAGCTGTAAATATGACTAAAGCAATCAAGTTATTTTGGTACATAAGGCAAGTAAAAAAAAACTCATCCTTTGTGGGATTTTGATGTTTTATCATCCTTTATGGGAAGCTTCTCTTATGTCCCCGCATGGAGAGCTAGAGCTGACAGAGGGAGCTCATCTGTGCTCTCCCCAGATTCAAACCTCCGACCTGTCGGTCTTCAGTTTTGCCGGCACAAAGGTTTAACCCTGGGCAACATCCTTGTAGACGGCCAATTCTCTCACACCAGAAGTCAAGTTATTTTGGTACATAATCCAAGTTTTAAAACATCCTTTATGGAGTTTTGATGTTTTACCATCCTTTATGGGAAGCTTCTCTTATGTCCCTGCATGGGGAGCTAGAGCTGACAGAGGGAGCTCATCCATGCTCTCCCCAGATTCAAACCTCTGACCTGTCGGTCTTCAGTCCTGCTGGCACAAGGGTTTAACCCTGGGCAACGTCCTTGCAGACGGCCAATTATCTCACACCAGAAGCGACTTGCAGTTTCTCGGGTCTAAAATAATAAATAAATAAATATGTTTTTTTTCCTCCGTGTCAGGAGCAACTTGAGATACTGTAAGTCGCTTCTGGTGTGAGAGAATTGGCCATCTGCAAAGACATTGCTCAAGGGATATTTTGAAGTTTTACCATCCTTTTTGAGAGGCTTCTCTCATGTGCCCTCATGGGGAGCTAGAGCTGACAGAGGGAGCTCATCCATGTTCTCCCTGGATTCGAACCTCCAACCTGTCAGTCTTCAGTCCTGCCAGCACTAGGGTTTAACCCATTGTGCCACTGGGGGCTCCTATTCTGCAACATGATAGCACTTCAATCCACCCATGTCAAGCTGTAAATAGTAGGCCTGGGTAACAACGGAAAAATTTGTTTCTAAAATCGATTTGTATTTGGGGGGTTTTTTTGTTTCGATATTTAAAATAATTACAAAATTTTCCTTTTAAAAAGTTCGATATTTACGAAATTTCGTAAATGGTAAAAAATTAACGAATCGATTTCCGAAACAATAATGAATCGATTCGTTAATGGCGGACGCGACCGCGAAATACGCTAAAAAACCTCCAAAACCTTCTGAAGCTTCCCTCTCCCTCTGTTGTTGACTGTTGGTGTGATATTATAATTTTTTTTCACTAATTAAACCATAAAACTGGCCCAGACATGCGGAAATAATAACGAAACGACCTCAAAACAATAACGAAACGAATACAATATCGAAATACGAAGCATTTACAAAACGTTTTTTGAAAATTCGTTTTTTTAAATAATTGCTCCAGAATGGTTCGTTATCGTTTTGTAATTGAAAAAAATAACGAATTATTAACGAATTACGAATTAACGAAACGAAACCGCCCAGCCCTAGTAAATAGGACTAAAGCAGTGAAGTTATTTTGTTACATAAGGCAAGTAAAAAACCCCCAATAATCTTTTAAATAAAAGATTATTTGAATTAAACTATGGGACCTCTCACTCTCTCTCTATACCCCACCCCACACACATGTATTTAAATTAAATATAATTGTTAATTTTTTTTAACTTTATTTTTTTATTATATATGTTTATTTTAATACATACACAACATTTATAGTTCCCACCACCATGAGGATTGTTTTCTTTTACATATTAATCCTTTTTGAGATTAACCTTATAAATTAACATACTATATAACATTTGTATCCTATTTCGTTCTTTCTTTCTTTCTTTTTCTTAAATATTTTAAATATTTTTAAATTAATTATTTGACATAATCTCATATATAATCAGAAAATATACATTCAGAAATACTGGAACATGTCTAGATCTGTATGTAGACAGCAACTTGTACAAAGTAAGTATAACATATTATACCATTCACTCAAGTTTAAGACACTTTCAAAGGAAAATCCATGCAAACTATTCCTAACTAGAACTGAGTTTATCTAGCTAGCAGCAATAGTGTCATCAGCTACTCCCACCCCCATATCATATGCAAAAAAAAAAAAAAAAATTAAATGCCAATGTATTTTTTTTGGGGGGGGGGGGAGATTCCTTGCAAGGCAAGAAATGTATCTACATGATCAAGATGGTTTCAGAGTATGTCCAAATACATCTTGATATTACATCAATATAAAAAGAAAACAAGAATGGGAGAAGGCAACAAAGTACTCTCTTATGACTAGAGCTTTCTGACTATTTTACATACACAGGCATGGACAACTGCAAAAACCCAATTTGTGTAAATTGAAGGATGTCCAAAACCATAATCAAATGTTTCATTAGCATTATGCCAACATATATAACATTTCCAGGAATCTCGTTTTTCTATTGTATAGCATTCCAGCTTGTTCACATAGTATTACATATTTCTTTTTATTTATTTATTCTAATTCTTTCCCTTCTGTTTTCTTTCCCCCCCTTTTCTCCCTTCCTTTTCTTTTCTTGAAAACAAAACCTAAACATCCACATAATATTCACATTTCAGGAGTTCCACCATACCATATACCATGGAAAAGAAAGTCACACCAAAAGAGCAACAAAGGATTCCTCATCATTTCTTTCTTAAAATTAAATACATACAATAAATATATAGTTTTCTGCCCTTCTGATTTTCTGAGGTTCCTGAGGTTGTGTAATAGTAGGACCAGCAACTACCAAGCTTCAATCTACACTCCTGAACAACTGTATGAAATGCTAGTTGTGCAGCATATAAATGCACAATATTTATATGCATTTATATATTATGAACAGTTTCAAATTTCCAGGTAAAGGATGCTCAACCTACGAAGACTTTAAGACTGAGGAAGGGAGCAAACACTGCTTCTCTAAAACACAACTGAATAGTATAGCTTTATTTACCTTCTGCCTGTTACTTTCCCAATAATACTTATTCCTAAAGGCAAATAAAACATCCTTCTTCCAATTTGCATGCACACTAACTTGGGCATGTTTGGTGGAATGTGTTTTGGAATAAATGTGCAAAGAGTGTTTGTTGATGCATGTACCTGGGCAACATGAAAACATGACTGCAGTGTTTTCAGGGATGGAGAGATAGTGCGAGAAACAGTCAACCTGTGCTTCACCACCGTCTGTCTCGAGGAATATGCCACGATCAATGTCCTCTCCACGGCAGGCCTTAAAAACACAAAAACACAATTAATCCTTGGCCTTCTAACAGCAGCTCCATGCTAAGGGGGTCCGGGTCCAGAACAAAATGGTGTCCCCCTTTTACCCCATGTAGAGGAGCTGCCTTTTTCCAAAATATGGAAATATATATCCTTCAGATAGACTAGACCAGGGGTCCTCAAACTTTTTAAACAGAGGTCACAGTCCCTCAAACTGTTGGAGGACCGGATTATAATTTGAAAAAAACATGAATGAATTCCTACTGCACATATCTTATTTGTAGTGCAAAAAACACTTAAAACAATACAATAATTAAAATGAAGAACAATTTTAACAAATATGAACTTATTAGTATTTCAATGGGAAATGTGGGCCTGCTTTTGGCTGATGAGATAGGATTGTTCTTGTTGTTGTGTGTACTTTCAAGTCATTTCAGACTTTGGTTGACAATGAGTGAGGGCCGGGTAAATGACCTTGGAGGGTCATATCCGGCCCCCATGCCATAGTTTGAGGACCCCTGGCCTAGACACAAGCCATACAGTATAAGGTCTTTAAGCCATGGCCATCAATTTGAATTTGTGCATATTCATTGGAATCTAATCCATCCATGATTAGCTGATTTCCTAACACCCATCCTGCAACTCCTGGAACGATTCCATCAGCGCTACCTCTGGAAAATCCTGCAAATCTCTTGGGAAGATAGGCAGACAAATGTCACCATTCTGAAAGAAGCAAATACCACCAGCATTGAAGCGATGGTCCTCCGCCATCAACTCCGCTGGACCGACCACGTTGTCCGGATGCCCAACCACCGTCTCCCAAAGCAGTTGCTCTACTCCGAACTCAAGAATGGAAAACGGAATGTTGGTGGGCAGGAAAGGAGAGTTAAAGATGGGCTCAAAGCCAACCTTAAAAACTCTGTCATAGGCACTGAGAACTGGAAAGCCCTAGCCCTTGAGCGCTCCAGCTGGAAGTCAGCTGTGACCAGCAGTGCTGCAGAATCTGAAGTGGCACAAATGGAGAGTGAAAGAGAGAAACATGCCAAGAGGAAGGCACATCAAGCCAACCCCGACTGAGAGCGTTTTCCACCTGGAAACCGATGACTCACTGCGGGAGAAGATATAGATCAAGAATAGGGCTCCACAGTCACCTACGGACCCACCAGATCCTGGAAGACTATCGTACTCAGCCAACGAGGGATCGCCTAAGTAAGTAAGTAAAGAAGCTTTGCTTGGAAAATTCTTGTTTAAGTATTTCTTGTTCATGGTTTGGATTCTTGGAGTGTATGAATGCCTACTCCTGCCTTGGATTAATGTTTCCTATTTTCCTGAATTATATTAGGGAAATGTGGACTTTGTTTTATGGACTTTGCTGAAGTTTACCCTGGATTATTTTTGCTCCTGCTTATCTCCTTAGCTAATTGGATTTACCTATTTCTTTTAAGTGCTTTTTACTTGCTGCTTTCTAATTATCTTCAATAAAAGGATTGTCTTCCATTCAAGTGTGTGGTGTTTTAAAATCAGAGGGCTTTTCCTGTCCTGGAGTGTGAAGCCGAGCATGACCCCCCCCCCCCCCAACAAGGGATGGTGACTTATAGTTCTGCAAAGGACAAAGGTACCAGACTGCACAATAGGGGTTAAGTCTTGGTCAATTTGCCAAGGCCTTAACAACAATGAGGACCCCATGAAACTTCGGGAATAGCTAGACCTTGGGGTCTCTGCCTCTCTCGGGAGCTGTAGTTCTCCAAGGACGGGGAGCAAAGCTAGTTTCCAGAGACACCAGGTCCATTTGGGCCACTCAAGAACTCCTGCCAGGACCTTTGTGCAACACCCTTGCGTTTTAGCCATCCCCTATGGACGCTCTTTCCCCCCACATGGACAAACCTTATGAAATCTTGCCTTTTATGAACTTTAGATATATGAAATGTGTTTTCTGATTTCTTTGTGTGGCAGAAGCCTTTCCCCTTTTCCTCTGCCCTTTGTTTCCCCTATATACATGAAGAAACTCCACCAAAGGGACTACAAAGCCCCAAACATTCCAGGAATTTTTTATCCACAACTTCCTTTTACATGAACAATAGCCTGGGCACCTGGTGGTCCTCGGAGGAATTGCCCAGCCCTCAGCTTGCCCCTTTGACAAAAATCTTAATCATGTTTCCTCCTGAAGAACAAAAGGTCCTCGAAAAAAACCTTTTGCCTTCGCTCTGATTATTCATTCCACTCAAAGCACAATAGATCAGGCTGGCCTTTGTCTTGCCGGCCGCATGGCAGGGCACTTCCTTTCCCAGATTCCTTTGTGCTCCCTCATCCCGCCTCCATCTCTCCTGATTGGCTGTCGCCACCAGGTGGCAGAGGTCTCCCCATTGGTTCCTACGGACCACTGGAGCCCATCGCCCAATCATGGCAGGGAACAACAGGGAAGCCGGGGCGGGGAGTTTGAACTCTGCAACTTTGAAAACTCTATATAAATGGCTGTATCAAATGTATTTCTTTATGCTTAGCTTTGGCGAATGATTGCAGCTTTGCATCCGTTTCAGCTGAATCGCATAAACTTCGATGGCCTTTCTTCAACTGGTGAGACTTTTCATTGGGAAATCAGGGAAAAATATGGGATGCTTCTCTGTCTCGCCAAGGAAAAAAGAACTCTTTGAGGAGTCTAATTGGTCTCTGCCTCCTGGCAAAGACCCCTAAATTTTAGCTCTATAACAAGTGCAACAGATACAGAAATATGCCATCCAGTAGTCACCATCTGCTCACCCACAGAAAACCATATTTAATAAGCCTTGGCACCAAAAGAGGGTTTTGTGAGACCAGTCACTCTTGTTGCAACTGTGTAGTAATGGCGGGGGCACGGACCATATTTTAGTTCTTGTGGACCACAGGTTGAGAATCACTGTGCTAAGATGACTGAAACCATATTTCTCTGAACACTCGGTCTCCTGTTAGTGAGTTTCAATTTCCTTTCAGCTACAATCCAGCCTCAGAAGAGATGGACTATTAAATGCAACTTTACAACTTATGCATTTTTATGATATTTAAATAACATTTTCAGGAAGTCATGATCACATTGGGCATTAAACAGGGATCATGGGACTTTCCCCACCAATGTTATGTTTAAAGGGAAATCTCTTTGTAGAATCTGGTATTTGCCATAAGGGGGAAATTCCTTAGAATCACAAGTCAAACACCAGGCATACCATGAGACCAGGAAATTTCGTGGAACAGAAAACGATTTAATCCTTGATGACGAATGGGAAAAAACAAACACTCCCCTGTCTTTTGACATGTGACTCATATACATATGCATGCACTTGAAGTGAAACCAAAGGCACTGCTGTGCATTAATCGTGCATTGTCTAAACATGTGTTTCATTGAGTTGGGTCAGGTTGGCCTTTCATGTATTTTCACAGAATCTGTTTTGACACATCAAATGAAAGCATTTAAATTCGTTCATGCCAATCTGAATTCATATAATGCTCAAATTCCAGAAGAGTAATCTGTTAGAAACCTCCAGAGTCCTGATGTGATACCTTTAATTTTTAAAGCTGTTATGGCAAAAAAAAATCATTTTGAATATGAATAGGATTGCCAAGAATAGACTACTGCAACCCGCTCAACATGGGGTTGCCTTTGAAGACTGTTCAGAAGCTTCAAGTGGTCCAACGAATGGCAGCAGATTCCTCACTGGGGCGGCATACAGGAAGCATACAACCCCCCTGTTATATCAGCTCCACTGGCTGCCAGTCTGCTACTGAACACAATTCAAAATGCTGGATTTAGCCTATAAAGCCCTAAACGGTTCTGGCCCAGCTTACCTGTCTGAATGTATCTCCCCCTATGATCCACCTCAGAGGTTAAGATCTTCTGGGGAGGCCCTGCTCTTGGTCCCACCTCCTTTGCACAAGCGGTGCCTTCTCAGACAGGGCCTTCTCAGTGGTGGCCCCTCAGCTATGGAACTCCCTCCCCAGCGAAATTAGAGCAGCCCTCTCCCTCCTGACCTTCAGGAAGAAGGTAAAAACATGGTTATGGGATCGAGCTCTTGGCTAGCAAGTTAGTGCAATATGAGAATATGGAACAGTGAAATGACTAATGGAACGGCCTTGGATCTTGATTTTAGACAATGTGATTTAAATAATTGTTTTAATTTCTTGGTTTTAATGTATGTGTTTATTTTACTGTATGTACGAGGGTTGAATGAAAAGTAATGCCACCTTCGTTACTTGGGTTTGGATGGGAATATTTTGATAAATCAAATGCAGAAATAATCCCTAGAATGCGCTCTTTAACTACCACTATTCACTTTTCCACATAATCACCAGACAATTAGATACACTTCTGCCAACGATGAACAAGTTTTCTGAAGCCATCACGGAAGAAGTCGACACTCTGGTTCCACAACCCATTGTGCACAGATCTTCCGATAGTCAAGCTAAGCAATAATGTGACCCACACATTCTTGTGAAATGCCGATTATGCTTGAAATTTCTCTCTGAGTGATATGACAATCGTCCTGAATCGATCTGTCAACCTTTTGCTTGTGAAACTCGGTGGTTGCTGTCACAGGACGTCCAACTCTTTGTTTGTCATGCAAGTCAGATGTTCCCACCTCTACATCTTTAAACTTACTTGCCCAACGACGCACAGTACTCACGTCAACACAATCACTATAAACAGCTTGCATTCTCTGATGAATCCTCTTTGGGGTGACACCTTCTGCTGTCAAGAATTAAATGACTGCATGTTGCTTTAGTTGCATTGACCGACCATCTGCGCAGGGTTCCATACTTTGCACTTTAACAACACAACAATTCAATGCTAAGGCTTCCCGTCAAAATGAAACTGTAGAGGCGAGTCCTCTGAACAAGCCAGTACCTGCCACATACCAGTGCTGCCATCTGTTGAGGAGTTATGAAGGTGGGGGCATTACTTTTCATTCAACCCTCGTATGTTTATGGCATTGAATTATTGCCTTTCTGTAAGGCTGCTCTGAGTCGCTTTTGGGGCGAGAAGGACGGGATATAAATGAAGTAAACAAATAAATAAGGGTCCTTTCGCACAGAATTTACATGCCATTGTAACAATAAAGCATTTTCCATCTGGATTCAAGAGCAGGGGCCAGTAGGTCAGCAGCCTCTGAACATAACTGTACTTCTAAAACAGCATCTCTATAGCATTAGCACAACTTTAAAAGGGTTTTTGATGCAGTCAGTATTAAATTAAAAACAGAAATGGATATTGTGTTATGGACCTCTGCAACAGCTTATGAATTGTAAATCAACCATGGCAGTCACCTCTCCACCAAAGTAAACATCGACACTAAAATACAACACTGCCTGAGATCTGCGAGTGCAGCATTTTTCCAAATGAAGCAGAGAGCGTTTGAGGACCGGGACATCCATAGGGATACCAAGGTGCTTGTTTATAAAGCTATTGTCCTCCCAACCCTGCGAAATGTGGACTGTCTACAGACGTTACATGCAACTTCTAGAACAATTCCATCAGCGCTGCCTCTGGAAAATCCTGCAAATCTCTTGGGAAGGCAAGCGACAAATGTCAGCGTGCTGGAAGAAGCAAAGACCACCAGCATTGAAGCAATGGTCTTCCGCCATCAATTCCACTGGACTGGCCATGTTGTCTAGATGCCTGACCACCATCTCCCAAAGCAGTTGCTCTATTCTGAACTCAAGAACGGAAAATGGAATGTTGGCGGGAAGGAAAAGAGATTTAAAGATCGGCTCAAACCCAACCTTAAAAACTCTGACATAGACACTGAGAACTGAGAAGCCCTGGCTTGTGAGCGCTCCAGCTGGAGGTCAGCTGTGACCAGCAGAGCTGCAGAATTTGAAGAGGCACGAATGGAGGGTGAAAGAGAGAAACGTACCAAGAGGGAGGCGCATCAAGCCAACCCCGACCAGGGCCGCCTTCCACCTGGAAACCAATGTCCTCACTGTGGGAGACGATGCAGATCAAGAATAGGGACCTACGGACCCACCCTGGAGGATTATCCTACTCGGACCATGAGGGATCGCCTAACTAAAGTAAGTGTTAATCAACCACTACATCATTATAGTAGCTTCCCTCAACCAGGTGCCTTCCAGGTGTATTGGACTATATAAGTTCTTGCAATGCATCTCTCAAATATCTGTTTGAGAAACACTGCTTGACACGCTGAAATTTTACATTGGCAGCTTACCTGTATGAAGAAGATTTTGGGCTTTCCTGTTAGATTGTGACATCTTTCGGGTGATAATGCCTTGAAAATCCGTGTGAGTGGAACTGGCTGTCCTTCGCAGTCAAACACACTCCCTTCCTGGCCGTGACTGGAAATGATGCTCACAAAACAGTCCCCGTGATCTGCATGGCATTCTGCAGGGGGAAAAGGAGAATATGCCAGTATTATTTCATCAATTTATTATTAAACTTTATTTGTACCTCGCTAGCATCTCCCGCAGGACTCGATGCGGCTTACAAAGGCCAAGGCCTCAACAACAATACAACAATACAAACCTAGGCAAATTAAAAACAATTAAAGCAATCTAAAACAACAAGCAATGAACAATCCACTAAGACACAATAAAACTAGGCTGGGCCAGAGTAAGGGTACAAGGGTTAAAAGTGCTGATGTGACAGGTGGAATTGAGGCTTATGGACAAGTGCAGTGTGCAGTGTGCAGCGATCTTGGCTTTAATAAAGTGCTTGTGGGACTAGGTAATTGAGGTTTCCTATTCGGGAAAGGCACATCGGAACAGCCAGGTCTTCAAGTTCTTTCTGAAGACTGCCAGTGTAGGGGCCTGTCTAAGATCTTTGGGGAGGGTGTTCCAGAGTTGGGGGGCCACCATGGAAAAGGCCCTGTCTTGTGTCCCCACCAAACGCGCTTGCGACGCAGGTGGGATCACGAGCAGGGCCTCTCCAGATGACCGAAGAGAGTGTGTGGGTTCGTAGACAGAGATGCGATCACGCAGGCAGGCTGGCCCCAAACTGCTCAGGGCTTTGTAGGTAAGCACCTGCACCTTAAATTGGGCTCAGTAGATAAACGGCAGCCAGTGGAGCTCCCTGAACAGGAGGGTTGACCTCTCTCTGTAGGGAGCGCCAGTCAACATCCTGGCTGCTGCTCGTTGAACCAGTTGGAATTTCCGAGCCGTTTTCAAGGGCAGCCCCACGTAGAGCGCATTACAGTAATCCACCCTAGAGGTGACCAAGGCATGGACCACCCCGGCCAGATCAGCCTTCGCGAGGTACGGTCGCAGTTGGCGCACGAGTCTTAATTGTGCGAAAGCCCTCCCAGACACTGCCGACGCCTGAGCCTCAAGCGTAAGCGATGAATCCAAGAGGACTCCCAAACTGTATTATGTTTTTCCCCATAATATCACAAAGTTGATTTATTGTCAAGACTAAAGATCAAAAAGAACAACTGAACTGCATCAACTAAAGCAGTGGTCCTCAACCTTCCTAATGCCACGACCCCTTCATACAGTTCCTCATGTTGTGGTGACAACATAACATTATTTTTGTTGCTTCTTCGTAACAATAATTTTGCTACTGTTATGAATTGTAATGTAAATATCTGATATGCAGGATAGATTTTTATTCACTGGACCAAATTTAATACAAGTACCTGATATACCAAAATTTGAATACTGGTGGGGTTGGTGGGGGGGATTGATTTTGTTATTTGGGAGTTGTAGTTGCTTGGATTTATAGTTCACCTACAATCAAAGAGCATTCTGAACTCCACCAATTATGGAATTGAACCAAACTTGGCACACTGAACTCCCATAACCAACGTAAAATACTGGAAGGCTTTGGTGGGCATTGACCTTGAGTTTTGGGAATTGTAGTTCACCTACATCCAGAGAGCACTGTGGACTCAAACGATGATAGATCTGGACCAACCTTGGCATGGATACTCAATATGCCCAAATGTGAACACTGTTGGAGTTTGTGGAAAATAGACCTTGACATTTGGGAGTTGTAGTTGCTTCTGTTATGAATCGTAATATAAATACCATATCTGATATGAAGTATGTATTATAATCACTGGATGAAATTTGGCATAAATACCTGATACACCCAAATTTGAATACCGGTGGGGTTGGGGGGGATTGATTTTATCATTTCTGGGTTGTAGTTGCTGGGATTTATAGTTCACCTACAAATCAGGCCCGTAGCAAGGATTTCATTTCAGGGGGGGGGGGCTAATTTTTTTCAGGCGTTTTTTTTTGGGGGGGGGCTGAGTTCGGGGGGGATGAGTCTGAGTGAAAGAGGGTCTACCCTAGCAAACCTTTTGTATCGTTACCCCAATACCCCATGCATATGGGATATATTGGGTATGGTGATCAGATCATGATATGAATAAACATAACAGTTTAAATAATGTACCAGTAAGGCCTTTTCGCGAACCACCATGAGAATTTGGGGGGGGGGGCTGAAGCCCCTCAAGCCCCCCCCCCCCCCCCCCCCCTGCCTGCCTACAACAAAGAGCATTCTGAACTCCACCAATGATGGAATTGAACCAGTCTTGGCACACAGAACTCTAATGACAAACAGAGAATACTGGAAGAGTTTGGTGGACATTGAGTTTTGGAGTTGTAGTTCACCTACATCCAGAGAGCACTGTGGACTCAAACAATGATGGATCTGGACCAAACTTGGCACAAACTCTCAATATGCCCAAATGTAACACTGGTGGAGTTTGGAGAAAAAAGACATTGGTATTTGGGAGTTGTAGTTGCTTGGATTTATAGTTCACCTACAATCAAAGAGCATTCTGAACCCCACCAATGATAGAATTGGGCCAAACTTCCCACACAGAACCCCCATGACCAACAGAAAATACTGTGCTTTCCGATGGTCTTTGGCCTCTGACACCCCCTCACAACCTCCCAGGTTTCCCGACCCCCAGGTTGAGAAACGTTGAACTAAAGGAATAAAACACCCAGCCTCATTGGATTCTATGGAACTTACTTCCAGGTAAATGCACACATAACTGAAGACTAAAGGTAGTAAGAATATAACAAATGTCTCTAGGATCCCCCTTTCTTCCCTTCTCCAAGTAAGCAGTGACAGACTTGGATAGCTCTACCTTGGGAAGTAGTTTATTTAGTCCCACAGGGTTCAATTCTGTCCCCAATGTTGTTTAACATCTACATGAAGCAACTGGGGGAGATCATTCGGAGTTTCGGACTGAGGTGTTATCTCTACGCAGATGATGTCCAGATCGGTCACTCCTTCTCACCTGTCACCAAGGAGGCTGTCCAGACCCTGAATCAATGTTTAGCTGCTGTGTCGGACTGGATGAGGGCTAGTAAATTGAAACTGAATCCAGACAAGACAGAGGTCCTACTGGTCAGTTGTAAGGCCAGACAGGGAATAGGGTTACAGCCTGTGCTGGACGGAGTTACACTCCCCCTGAAGACGCAGGTTCGCAGCTTGGGAGTGATCCTGGACTCATCGCTGAGCCTGGAACCCCAGGTCTCAGCGGTGGCCGGGAGACCTTTTGCACAATTAAAACTTGTGCACCAGTTGCGCCCGTTCCTTGGGAAGTCTGATCTGGCCACAGTGGTCCATGCTCTTGTTACATCCCGAATAGACTACTGCAATGCACTCTACGTGGGGTTGCCCTTGAAGACGGTTCGGAAACTTCAACTGGTCCAGCGAGCGGCAGCCAGACTGCTCACCGGGGTGACATACAGAGAGCACACCACCCCTCTGCTGTGTCAGCTCCACTGGCTGCCGGTTCAGTTCCGAGCCCAATTCAAGGTGCTGGTTTTGACCTACAAAACCCTGTACGGTTCCGGTCCAGCGTACCTTTCCGAACGTATCTCCCTCTATGTCCCACCCCGGAATTTGAGATCATCTGAGGGGGCCCTGCTCTCGACTCCACCGCTTTCCCAAGTGAGACTGGTGGGGACGAGGAGCAGGGCCTTCTCAGTGGTGGCCCCTCACCTGTGGAACTTGCTCCCAGTAGATATCAGGGCGTCGACATCACTCCTGCCCTTCAGGAGGAAGGTAAAGACGTGGTTGTGGGACCAGGCCATCGGGCAATCTGCTAACTAGGTAAGGACAACCAGACAAATAGGACCGGCAGGACTGATAAATGTGGAAGGAAACTCTGAACTAAGAGATAGCAAACATTGACCAGCAATAAGGAGTAATTGGTTTGTATTGGTTTGTATGAAATTTTTATTGGTTTTATAGGTTTTAGCGAGTATAGATGTAATGTATTGCTGCTGATTGTTAATTGGCGTTAATTTGTTTTACTGCTGTTGTATGTTATGGGCATCGAATTGTGCCTTGGTTGTGTAAGCCGCCCTGAGTCCCCTTCGGGGTGAGAAGGGCGGGGTAAAAGTAAACCAAATAAATAAATAAATAAATTTCACGTTTGGAAGAGCAGGGTTTGAAAGGCTTTGTTTCCATGCACCATAGCTATGACAGTGGAGGGTTCTGAGACAGGGCCTTAAGACTAGCCAACAACAAGTTCCTAGAATAAGAGGTTTCAGATTGGAGTCTTAGGATTTCGGACACTCTTTTACTTTTCTTCCTCATTTTCCATCTTGTGCTTAATATTCCATAGAATAATCAAGAGACCACATGGGCCACTTTGTCCAACTCCCTGCCATGCAGGAAAAGCACAATTAAAGTACCCCTGACAGATGGCCACCCAGCCTCTGTTTAAAAGTTTCCAAGGAAGGGGCTTCCACCACACAAGTATTCCCCAATGGTTGGAGGATCTGGAAACTGAATTTTAAAATACTGGCAAGTCCAAAAGCTGAGAACTACTGATCTAGTCTATCTACCTGCTCAGCATAGGATCTATAATCAAAGATATCCCTACAGATATCATCAAGAGATGGCTACTTACATACCTCTGGTAAAAGAAAGTCAACTACCTTCCAAGACAATGAGGTCCACTGTCAAACAGATATTACTGTTTATTATTTATTATTATTTTGATATTATTAATATTATTAAATATTATTATTATTTTTACCCCACCCTTCTCAACCCCCCGGGGGGGCGGGGGGGGGGCGCACAGGGCACCTTCCAGCCAGCAACAATTCGATGCCTCCATGTACACATAATAAAATATAGAACAGAAACAATAATTATATATACATAGTTAAAAACATTGAGTCAATACAATTAAAATCTACAAAAATACTGGTGGCCATTATCTAGCCGAATTCTGTAGTTGGAGACTCATCAGGCTTGTCCATACTCCATTACCATAGCAATAGTTGTAATTGTCAATGTCATAGTCTCATAGTTACCCAAGGGCCTGGTCTCACATCCACGTTTTTAACTTCTTTCTAAAGGTGAGGAAGGATGAATACAGCCTTATTTCCCCGGGGAGAGAATTCCACAGGTGGGGGTCCACCACCAAGAAGGCCCTGTCCCTCATCCCCGCCAAGTGTGTTTCTGATAGAGGCGGGGCTAAGACCAGGGCCTCCCCAGAAGATCTTAAGCTCCTAGGTGGGATGTAGAAGGAGATACGTTTGGACAAGTACGCTGGTCTGGAACCATATAGGTTTTTATAGGTCAAAAGCAATGTGGGGCAGCCTCTGAAAACTTCTCAGAAGCTTCAATTAGTCCAACAGTCAGCAGCGAGGTTGTTAACTGGAGTGGCGTACAGGGAGCATACTACTCCTTTGTTGTGCCAGCTCCACTGGCTACTGATCAGCTTCCGAGCACAATTCTGTTATGTGATGCAGGCATCGAATTGTGCCTTTGCTTTTGTAAGCCGCCCTGAATCCCCTTCGGGGTGAGAAGGGTGGGGTAGAAGAAACCAAAATAAATAAATATAAATAAATTCAAAGTGCTGGTTTTGACCTTTAAAACCCTAAACAGTTCTGGCTCAGATTACCTGTCTGAACGTATCTCCTGCTATGAATGTAGCTTAAAATCATCAGGAGAGGTTCTGCTCTCGATCCCACCACCCTCGCAAATGCGGTTGGTGGGGACGGGAGACAGGGCCTTCTTGGCAGTGGCCCCCATCTGTGGAATTCTGTCCCTAAGGACATCAGGTTGGCCACCTCCCTCCAGAAGACAATTGAAGAACAGGCTCTGGGGCCAGGCGTTCGACTAGAGGATAGCGGCAATATGGAAAGGAATTTTTTTACGACATTGGATTCTCCCGGCTTGGTTTTGGCTTTACTGGCACGTTAATGTATTCTTAAATGAATGTATTGATGATTTTGTATAATGTTTTTAAAATGATTTTACTGTTTTAATTGTCATTTTATGGTGTATATGTTGTTAGCGTCATTTGATGCTTATATGAGGCCACCCTGAGTCCCCTTATGGGGAGAAGGGCGGGGTAGAAATGTACGAAATCAATCAATCAATCAATAAATTTGAATTGTGCTCGGAACTGGATTGGCAGCCAGTGGAGCTGACATAGCAGGGGGGTGGTATGCTCCCTATATGACGCTCCAGTGAGTAGTCTAGCTGCCACCCATTGGACTACTTGCAGTTTCCGAACAGTCTTCAAAGGCAACCCCACGTAGAGTGTGTTGAAGTAATCTATTTGGGATGTAACAAGAGTGTGGACTGCTGTGGTCAGATCAGACTACTCAAGGTACGGGCGTAGCTAGAGCACAAGTTTTAGTTGTGCAAAAGCTCTCCCGACCACCGCCGAGACCTGGGGTTCCAGGCTCAGCGATGAGTCCAGGATCACTCCCAAGCTGCAAACATGCTTAGGAAATGTATTCCAAAGTTCTGGTGAAATCTACTAGCCTGCCCTTCCCATTGGTCTACACCTTGGCCCCAGGAACAACTGAGAACAACTAAGAACTATTCTGCACGATAGGCCTTCAAGTGTTTGAAGGCAGCTCTGATGCATCTTCTCCAAGCTAAACACACCAAGCTCTTTCAATGGTTTATTGGTCCCTGTTGCTAATTTCCGATCCCACTTCAAAAGCAAAGCAATTCACATACCTTCCTCATAAAGCTCTTCTATTTCCTTAGCTGTCAAATCATAGGAAAGTCTCACGGCATAGTTGCACTTGGACAGTGCTATAAAAAGAGGATCTGCTTCCCTTCTAGCCCCAGGTCTTGACGGGAGTCTCTCATCGGATTTAGTTCTGTAGAAATCGTAATTGACAATGATTAGAGCCCTGTTTTTTCTTTGGTTTGACATGCTCCGCGACTCACGAACAGGCACCAAACAGTGTTTAAGAGCCTATGCATTGATAGATCATATATATATAATCTTTGACCTACCTAGGTGTATTATGACTCAGCCAGAGGGTGGAGGAATGAAAGCAAATTCATATCCTGTTTAGTTAGCTTGATATAAATGCAAACAATAACCTTTAGTACCTACAAATTGCCATCATTTGCCCAGAGTAACTATTTGATCTGGGATTCAGATGGATCATAATGCTGACATACAACTCTGCAATATACATGACACACTAGAAGGAAAGTACCGCAAAACTAAGATTGAAAAGAGAAACAAGGCTAAGTACTGAAATAAAGTGGTATGAAGGACAATGTCCCTTCCTCACCTGCCTATTGTGGCAGCCAATTAGTTTCTGAGCCAGATTCACAGGGTCAGCATCAAAAAGATGTGAATACGCGTTTCCGACAAGGAATTATGGATGCATTTTCTGCATTGGTAGAAAGTTGCATTAAATGTCCGTGAGGGTGGAAGGAAAAGTAATGCCTCCACCTTCATAACTCCTCAACAGATGGCAGTACTGGTATGCGGCAGGTACTGGCTTGTTCAGTAGATTCTCCTTTACAGTTCCATTTTGGTGGGAACCCTTAGCATTGAACAGTTGCGTTGTTAAAGTGCAAAGTATGGAACCCTGCACAGACAGTCAGTCAATGCAACTTAAGCAGTGTGCAGTCATTGAATTCTTGACAGCAGAAGGTGTCACCCCAAAAGAGATTAATCAGAGAATGCAAGCTGTTTATGGTGATGGTGTTGATCATTGGGGGAATAAGTTTAAAGATGTTGAGGTGGGAACATGTTGGGACTCAACCTGACTGTTGGGACTCAGCCTGTGATTAAACCTGAGCCTGTGATTGAACCTGTGATTGTGTTTCAGTCTTCTGATGTTTCTGTATCTGATTTTGATAATCAGGAGGGAAATCAGTCTCCTGTTACTTCTGATGTGGGGGATGCTGGGCCTGACTCTGAGGTGCAAGATGGAGACACTTTGTTCAATAAGTTTCATGCAGACACTGACCACAGAGAGGCTTTGGTGCAAAGGGCAGATTCTCACGAGAATGTTTCTGTCGGGCCTTGGGAGAAAGGTTTACTCCGCCTGTGAGCTCTCCATATTATAGTTTGGAAAACAGTCTGACACCTGGTAAAGTTAATGAGGAGTCAGATAAGCAGAGTCAGCGGCTGGAGATTAGCCAGAATCGACAAGAGGCCCATTGTTTACATAGATCCAAAAGAATTCATCAGTTAAGGCAGGGGTCCTCAAACTAAGGCCCGGGGGCTGGATGCGGCCCTCCAAGGTCATTTACCCGGCCCTCGCTCAGGGTCAACCTAAGTCTGAAACAACTTGAAAGCACACAACAACAACACTATTCCTATCTCATCAGCCAAAAGCAGGCCCACATTTCCCATTGAAATACTAATAAGTTTATATTTGTTAACATTGTTCCTCATTTTAATTATTGTATTGTTTTAAAGTGTTTATTACACTACAAATAAGATATGTGCAGCGTGCACAGGAATTCATGTTTTATTTTTCAAATTATAATCCGGCCCTTCAACAGTTTGAGGGACTCTGACCTGGCCCTCTGCTTAAAAAGTTTGTGGACCCCTGAGTTAAGGTCAAAGACTGGAGGAAAACGAAACTAGTTTTGGGAATTTAAGGTTTGCCTTTAGGAAATCTTGTCAGATCAGGCATCGTTTGGAAACCAAGCACAAGCCTCATGGAATTCCTGTTCAAGTGGTCTCGTCTTCATAGTTTTCTCTAGCCTTTCAAGTTGACTAGCAGCATCTGGCCTGTTCTTGCTTCATGGTTGATTCCTGTCTGTATAATCAGTGCCTTGGATTGTATCTTCATGCTTTTTGAGCATTGCTTTTGATTGCTACGTTTGGACACTGTTTTATCTTGCTGCCTTTGAATGCCTTATTGCTTTTTGGAATCTTCTCTTCCTTTACAAGCATTTATTTCTGGCTTTTTTGCTAAGTTTTAATAAAAGGATTGTTCCTTCACTCAATGTGTGGTGTGTTTATAGTGAGAGGGGCTATTTCCTGCTCTGGAGTGCAACACTGACTTGCATGACAAACACTGAGTTTCACAAGCAAAAGGTTGACAGACTGATTCAGGATGATCGTCATATCACTCAGAGAGAAATTTCAAGCATAATCGGCATTTCACAAGAACGTGTGGGTCACATTATTGCTTTGCTTGGCTATTGGAAGATCTGTGCACGATGGGTATGTTGAGAGAACTGTGAAATGCTGGTTGCGGAAACAGACTATAGACTTCTTCTGTGATGTTTTAAAAGATGGTTTAAGTTTAAAGATGTTGAAGTGACAACATCTGACTTGCGTGACAAACAAAGAGTTGGACGTCCTGTGACAGCAACCACCGAGTTTCACAAGCAAAAGGTTGACAGATTGATCTATGCACGATGGGTTGTGGAAACAGAGTGTCGACTTCTTCCGTAACGGCTTCAGAAAACTTGTTAATTGTTGGCAGAAATGTATCCAATTCTCTGGTGATTATGTGGAAAAGTGAATAGTGATAGTTAAAAAGCACATTCTAAGGATTATTTCTGCGTTTGATTTATTAAAATATTCCCATCCAAACCCAAGTAACGAAGGTGGAGGCATTACTTTTCATTCAACCCTTGTAAATTCCATTCCAATCGTACAGTTGTGTTCCTGAGCAACTGAACACAATTTCTTTGTAACCTGAGAGAAAGGAATTGAAGACCTGAAGGACTTGTGGTGTATATGTTCTTAGTCCCTCTATGGAGGTTAGGGAAGAACGGTATATAAAAGTTTTAAATAAACAAATAAATAATAATAAATATGTGGCTGGCTGGCTGGCATGTATTCTTTAAAAATAAATACTGATAGTTTTACAACCAGGAACCAAGCTGAACAACTGTGAACCTTGGGTTTCACTGCAGAAATTCACCATAATCACTATGAAGGAATAGGACCCCCCCCCCCCCCCCCAATGGCAATGAGTTAAATCCTTGTGCCAGCAGGACTGTAGACTAACAGGTTGGTGATTTGAATCCGAAAGGGAGCATGGATGAGCTCCCTCTGTCAGCTCCAGCTCTCCATGCGGGGACATGAGAGAAGCCTCCCACAAAGATGGTAAAACATCAAATATCCGGGCGTCCTCTGGGCAACGTCCTTGCAGATGGCCAATTCTTTCACACCAGAAAATACTTGCAGTTTCTCAAGTTGTTCCTGACATGAGGAGAAAAGAAAGTGAAATGAAATGAAGTTATTAAAATGTGGCCATGTGATAATGATAGTTATGGTAGGGCAGGAACTGCAGCTCGTGATGCCTCACATGGCTGGTCAGTCCCTCTTCCCGAACAAAGTCCACGTAGGTGGTGATGCAGGCTTACAACTCAGTCATTTGCTAACTTAAAAAGCAAACAAGAAAAGCAAAACTTCAGACTGGTGCCCTGGCTGGGCCAACCTAACATATTTTACTGTGAACAGAAGGCACATCTCTTCAATTCCACGTATAGTGTGGAATATATTTTGACTGGACCTTTTATATTGGTGACAGAATGGGTGAGGCTGCCTGAGATGACTACCAGGCCTGTTCAAATGACTGAGTTGCCCTTGAAGACCAAAAATCTTAGAATCATGGAATCATTGAGTTGGAAGAGACCTTGTGGTCCAACCCCCTGCTAAGAAGCAGGAAAATCACCTTCAAAGCACCCCTTACAAATGGCCATCCAGCCTCTGCTTAAAATCCTCCAAAGAAGGAGCCTCCACCACACTCCGGGGCAGAAAGTTCCACTGCTTAACAGCTCTCACAGATTGGAAGTTCTTCCTCATGTTCAGGTGGAATCTTCTTTCCTATAGTTTGAAGCCATTGTTCCACGTCCTAGTCTCCAGGGCAGCAGAAAACAAGCTTGCTCCTTCCTCCCTATGACTTCCTCTCAGGCCTGTAGCGAGGGGGTGGTTTTAGGGGTTCAAACCCCCCCGAAATGTTTCAGATTTTTAAAAAAACCTGGTTGACTCATGAATTTTAACTGGTTAACCAAATCCTATGAGATGCAAAAAATTAAGAGTCTCTCCAGAACTGCAAGCACTATCTCAAGCAAATATTGACAATTTATTCACACTGTCATTACTTGCAGCAATAGCCGATGTAGCGAAGCAACCAAGTTGGGGTGTGTGTGTTGAATGCTCTCATTAAGGAGGCCAGACTTGGTGGAGGTGGTTGACAGGGGCGGAGCTGCAGGCTATTGAAGGCTGCTCTGCCCCCTGCTGTGCTCTTTGCTTCAGCGTGAGCTAGGAGGCAGGTTTCAACCCCCCCCCTCCGTGAAATTTTCAACCCCCCCCCCCCCGTGAAATTTTCAACCCCTCTCGAAATTTTTTTCTGGCTACGGCCCTGCTTCCTCTCATATATTTATACATGGTCCTCATCATGTCGTCTCTCAACCTTCTCTTTTTCAGGTTAAACATGTCCAGCTTTTTAAGCCACTCCTCATAGGGCTTGTTCTCCAGGCCCTTGATCATTTTAGTCACCCTCCTCTGGACACATTATGAGCTTGTCAATATCTCTCTTCAATTGTGATGCACAGAATTGGACACAGTGTGATTCCAGGTGTGGTCTAACCAAAGCAGAATAGAGGGGTAGCATGACTTACCTGGATCTAGACACTAGATTCCTATTGATGCAGGCCAAAATCCCATTGGCTTTTTTTTGCTGCCACATCACATTGTTGGCTCATGTTTAACTTGTTGTCCATGAGGACTCCAAGATCTTTTTCACATGTACTGCTCTTGAGCCAGGCATTGTCCCCCATTCTGTATCTTTGCATTTCATTTTTTCTGCTTAATTGGAATATCTTGCATTTGTCCCTGTTGAACTTTATTCTGTTAGTTTTGGCCAATCATCTCTCTCATCTATTCAGATCATTTTGAATTCTGCTCCTGTCCTCTGGAGTATTGGCTTTCCCTCCCAATTTGGTGTCATCTGCAAACTTCATGATCATGCC